ACAGATGAAGCAATGGCTTTTAGGACACTGGACACCAGACAATAATCTCCAGGAGAAGGAAAACAAGCTGAGCATACTGCTTTGAGAGTGTTTATAGCCCATGGCACAGGAAGGAGGAACGAAGGAAGAGCTGGCTGACACCTAAGTTGAAGAAACAAAGCTAAGAGTCTAGAAAGACGACCGTGGCTATAGTTCAGAATGCAGGGTAGCAGAGAAGAGATCGCTGCGCAGAGAAGGAATTCCAGAGATCTGCAGAGAGTTTTCCTTCAATATTCTTCAGAGTACTGATTAGAAGATGCAATTAAAGAAATGACCCAAAGATGAGGAAAGAGCCACTCAAAGCAATTAAAGGGAACACAGCTACAGAGGACTGGGAATAACATCATTTCTTACCAACTGGACTAAAAAAACATGTAACACAGGTCATTGGGTAGAATACTTAGAAGTGTCTTGACTCGGTAGGGGAGTAATAAGCCCTGGACTAAGCACTGCTTTTCTCATCTAGCAGATCTCAAGCTTCCAAGTAACTCAACCGTGTCTGAGAAAAAAGTAGAAGTTTATTTACAGGAACACAAAAATATCCAACATCCAACAAGGTAGAATTTAAAATATTTAGCATCCAATCAAAAGTGTCTAGTCATATAAAGAAGCAATAAAATATAACTCAAAATGAAGAGAAATACCAATCTCAAAACTGAAACCAGAACTAATATACATGTTAGAATTAACAGGCAAGGACATTGTGATAGTTAATATAACAGTATTCCATATGTTCAGTAAGTTAAAGTCAAGGTTTAATATCTTAAGTGGAGACATAGAAGACACAAAAAGAGACCCAAATTGGACTTTTAGAGATGAGGACCACAGTGTCTGAGCTGAAAGTTATACTGGAAAACATCAATGGCAGAAGAAAAGATTAGCGAACTTGAAGGCCTGGCAATAGAACCTATTCAAAGAAAAACCTAAGAGAGGAAGGAAGGCAGGAAAGAAGGGAGGGAAGAGAAAACAGAGGGGAGGGAAGGAGGAGAGGGAGGGGACATCTGTGACTATGGGACAACTTCTAGCATGCATGTGACTGAAATCCCAATGGAGAAAAGGGGAGAAGACAGAAAAAATATTTGGCAATAATATTTGAAATAACGATGGCTGAAATTTTTTTAAATTTGATGAAAATCATAAACCTCCATATCTGAGAAACTTAAGAAACATGAAGAAAATTATACCAGGGCACATCATAATCAACTTGCTCAAAACATGTGATAAAGAGAAAAATCTGAAAGGTACCCGGGGGGTGGGGGAAACATGATATGCAAAAGAACAAAGGTAATGATGACAGATTTTTCACTGAAATCAATGCAAATGAAAATTATCTGTTTCAAACTACTGAATATAAAAAAAACTATCGATCTGAAATCTATACCCTGCAAAGATAACTTTCAAAAATGAAAGCAACAGGCTTTTTCAGAGAAATGTTGAAATAATTTATCACTAGCATACCTGTACTCCAAGTAATGTTAAAAAAAAAAAAAATACTTAAGGCTCAGCACCTGAAGTATTTCAGAGAAATGTTGAAAGAATTTATCACCAGCATACCTGTACTCCAAGTAATGTTTGAAAAAATACTTCAGGCCTGTAGCCCAGTGGTTATGGCACCAGCCACATACACCAGGACTGGTGGGTTCGAATCCAGCCCAGGCCTGCTAAACAACAATGACAACTACAAGAAAGAACAGCTGGGCATTGTGGCAGGTGCCTGTAATCCCAGCTAACTGGGAGGCTGAGGCAAGAGAATTGCTTATGCCCAAGAGTTAGGAGTAGCTGTGAGCTGTGACACCACTGCACTCTACTGAGGGCAACATAGTGAGACTGTCTCAAAAAAATTAAAAAATAAAAAGAATACTTCAGGCAGATGGAAAAAATATATATAACTTTTTCTCTTATTAAATCTCTTTAAAAGGCAATTGACTATTTAAACAGAAATAATGACAATATAGTATGGGTTTTTTGACATTTGTGCAAGTAAAATATATGACAACAATAGTACAAGGCCAGGAAAGAAGAAATGGAAACATATTTGTTATTATAAGGATCTTGTGCTCCACATGTGGTGGCATGATATCACTTGAAGATAGATTGTGATGACTTAAAGAAGTACATTATAAATCCTAAAGCAACCAATAAAGGAAATGAAATTGAACCATAAAATATACTCAGTGAATATTAAAGGAGTCAAAGAATGAGGGAAAAGGAAATAAAGAATAGATGGGGCAAATTTTAAAAAGTAGCAAAATGGCAGATTTAAATCTGTCCAGATCAATAATCACATTAAATATGAATCATTTAACCACTAGAATTACAAATCAGAGATTGACAGATAATTTTTAAAAAGGAAGACCCAGTTATATGCTGCCTACAAGAAACCTATTTTAAAGATACAAATGAGTTAAAGGATAAGAATAGAAAAGGATATGCTATGCTAACACTACTCAAAAGTGTGGCTAATGGAGTGGCTAGTATATTAATATCAGAAGAAGTAGATTTCAGAAAAAAGTATATATCCAGGAATGAAAAGGTCATTTCATAGTTATAAAGGAGTGAATGTTTTAAGAGAAAATAAATATGTATGCATCTAATAATAGGTTTTCAAACTGCATGAAGCAAAAATGGATAGAATACAATAACTGACAGGCAGATCTACGATTATATTAAGATATTTTAGCGTCTCTTCTTAATACATGTTAGAACCAGTAGACAAAAAATAGAAAAGTTATAAAAGACTTGAACAACACTCATCATACTCCTTAAACCTACTAACATTTACAGAATACTCCAGCTAAGAATAATACATTCTTTTAAAATGCATATAGAATATTTACCAGGACAGATCATATTCTGGAACATAAAGTAAGTCTCCATGAGTTTAAAAGGATTGAAGTCTTATAAAGTTTATTCCTTGACCACAATGAGATTCATTCAGAGAATGATAACAAAAAGATAGCTGGAAACTCCTCCAAATACTTGGAGACTAAATAACATATTTAAAAATAACTTACGTATCAGAGAAGAAGTCCAAAGAATTGAGTAAAAATTAAAATTCAAACATTGTAAGATACTGTTATATCAGTGCTAAACATAAAGTTTATAGCATTTAAGCCTATATTAGAAAAGATAAAAAAAAAAAAAGAAAAAGTAAAAGATCTTAGCTCAATGAGCTCAACTTTTGCCTTATAAAACTGGGGAGGGGCAAAAAATTAAACCCGTAATAAGTAGAATAAAGGCTGTATAACAGTGAGAACAGAAATCAGTGAAATAGAAAAAAGCAATGAATAAAATCACTTTAACCAAAAGCTAATTCTTTGGAAACATCAATAAAATGTTAAACCTCTAGCCATATTGAGCAGGAAAAAAGAAAGAAGCAGAATTTCCAATGTTAGAAATGTGAGCAGTGACACCAGTACAGATTCTACTGATATTAGAAGAAAATGTTTTCATAATATAAATTTTTAATTGTATAATCTTAGGCCAATAAATTTGACAATTCTTAATTGACTGTATAGCTAAAGAAAACCCCAGGCTCAGAAAGTTTCACAGGTAAACTATACCAATACATGAAGAAAATATGATTCTACAAAAAACTCTTGTAAGAAATTAAAAAGGAAGAAATACATTCTTTCTCTAATTTTTGTTTTTATTCAAATTAATATGAGGGTACAATTTTTAGGTTATATTATTCTCACTTCCAGGATAAAGTTCCATTTGTAGAAGAGCCTCTTATGTAGGGGGAGGTGTTATACACCCTCACAGTGTGCACGTTAGGTGAGATCCCGCCTCACGCCCTCCATCATGCTGCTGTATGTCCTCCCCTTCTCCCCTCCCACTTCCCTCTACCAAGAAATACATACTTTCCAAGTCATTTTGTGAGACCATCATTACCCTAATTCTAAAACAGCATCCCAATAAAATTATTTTGGGGGGGGGGGATGTTGAACGGAGCTGGGTTTGAACCTGCCACCTCTGGCATATGGGGCCGGTGCCCTACTTCTGTGAGCCACAGGCACCAGCATCCCAATAAAATTATAAGAAAACCAGGCAGATATTCCTTATGGACTTAGAGGTAAAATTTCTTTAAAATGTTAGCAGATTGAATCCAACAATGTATAACAAAGCAAATACATTATGACCAAACTGAGATTATTCTAGAAATGGAAGGTTGGGTCAACATTCCAAAATCAATCAATATTATTTATCACATTAACAAACAAAAATGAAAAACTGCATGATTATTTCAATAGATGAAAATAAAAGGCATTTGAAAGTCTAACATCTATTCCAGAATTTTAAAAAAAGAGAGAATTAGTGTCAGACTAATATGAGTGTACAAACGATTAGGCTACAATGTCTGTGTTTGTTAGGGAAGGTCCCTGTTGTGGTTGTGCCCCTCACCGAGGAGGTGTGCCATGTACTCTTACGTGGTGCCTGTATTAGGGTGTTGTTAGAGCACAACAATCCCCCTCCTTCCTCCCTCCTTGCCCCCTTGGTACTCCCTGCTCCCTTCAAATTTAAAAAAAAACTAGAAATAGCTTCTAGTAATTTTCTTCCAGAAAGAAATTTCCTCAACCCAATAGGAGCATCTGTGAAATACCGCTAACTAATATCATATGTAATGGTGAAAAGCAGAAGGCTTCCTTCCCACATCAGCAAGGCAAGGATATCCACTCTCACCACCGTTATTCCAACATGGTACTGGAGGTTCTACTCAATGCAGTAAGGCAAGAAGAAGACATAGACACCATCCTTGTTAGAATGGCAACGAAATGTCTTTACTCACAGATAACGTAATCTTATATGTAGAAAATTCCCTGGAATCTACCCAAAAACAACCCAAAAAGCCTATGACAGATAATAAACAAGGTTTTCAGATAAAGGATCAATACTCAAAAATCATTTATTTTATATTCTAGCTATGAGAAATCAGAAATTCAAACTAAAAAAACAATACCGTGCTCACTTTGGCAGCACATATACTAAAATGGGAATGATACAGAGAGGATTAGCATGGCCCCGTCCAAGGATAACACAGAAATGTATGAAACATTATGTATTTTTTAATGCAGGACTTGGTGGAGGCTGCATCTTGGATTTTAGATTGGGCTCCCTCTCTGACTGACAGAGCTCCACTTCTCTCAAGCTCAGTGTGACAGTCATACCTGGTGAGGAACTTGAGGTCCAGGTTCTGTCAGTCTGCTGCTACAACACATAGTTTTATAAATCTCCCACTGTACAGAGTACTTAAAACTACATTGCAGTATTTAAAACAGAAGACAAATGCCATTTACAATGGCATCAAAAATATCAATACTTAGGCATAATTCTGCAAAAATGATGTGCAAGACTGATACACTACTATAAAATATTGCTGGGAAAAATTAAAGATGACCCAAATTAATAAAGATACTATGTTCATGAGTCAAAAGTTTCATTATTGTTCAGATGATAGTTCTTCTTAAATTGATCAATAGATTTAGTATAATCACAGCACACTATTTTATAGAAATTGGCAAGCTAATTTTTAAATATATACGGAAATGCAAAAGATGAAAATAGCTCTGGAAAAGAGCAAATCAAAACATTGTGAATATGGGCTCAGTGCCCGTAGCTCAATGAGTAAGGTGCCAGCCACATACACTGAGGCTGGCGGGTTCAAATCTAGCCTGGGCCAGCTAAACAACAACGACAACTGCAACAAAAATAATAGCCAGGCATTGTGGCAGGTGCCTGTAGTCCCAGCTACTTGGGAGGCTGAGGCAAGAGAATCACTTAAGCCCAAGAGTTTGAGGTTGCTGTGAGCTGTGACACCTCAGCATTCTACCCAGGGCAACATAGTGAGACTCTGTCTCAAAAAAAAAAAAAAAAAACTTTAGAGATTGGCAAACATAAAAAATGGAAAGAGACAGAGTCTATAAATAGATCCACACATATGTAAGCAATTGATTTTCAATAAAAGTGCAAAGGCAGTTCAGTAGAGAAAAGATAGTCTTTTTAGATAGTGGTGCTGGAAAAATTGGATATTCATATCCAAAAGACAAAAAATAACCACAGTCTGTATCTTGTAACGTTGTAACATAGATAAAATTAACTCAAAATGGTCATAGACCTAAATGCAAGAACAACAACAAAAAAAAAAATACAACTTCTAAGAAGCAAAATACATGGAGAAAATCTTTGTGACCTTGGTTTAAAACAAGGACTTTTTTAGATACAACCCCAAAAACATGATCATAAAATAACAAAAATGATAAATTGGATTTATCAAATGAAGACTCTCTGCTGTTTGGAAGATACTATTAAGAGAATAAAAAGACAATTACAGACATCTGATAAAAGACTTTTATTCATAATATACAAAAAACTTTCGAAACTCAACAATAAGGAAACAAAAAAAAAAAAAACAAATTAAAAATGGGCAAAGAATCTAAATAGACATTTCTCCAAAGGAGGTGTAAAGGTGGCAAATAAACACATGAAAGATTCTCAACAACTTTCATCATAAGAAAAAACAAATTTAGGGACGACACCTGTGGCTCAAAAGAGTTAAGGCGCCGGCCCCATATGCTGGAGGTGGCAGGTTCAAACCCAGCCCCGGCCAAAAACCGCAGAAAAAAATAAAAGAAAATTTAGAACCACAAGATATTCTGTTATACTTATTAGAATGTCCAAAGTGAGACTGACCGTATTAAATATTGGCACAGATGTAAAAGAACTGGAACTCTGCTTTATTCTTGGTTAAAATGCAAAATGGTACAGCGACTTTAGAAAACAATGGCAGCGGCTCAGCACCTGTGGCTCAGGTGGCTAAGGTGCCAGCCATGTACAAGCAAGGTGGCGGGTTCAAATCCAGCCGGGGCCCGCCAGACAACAATGACGGCTGCAACCAAAAAATAGCCAGGCGTTGTGGCGGGTGCCTGTGGTCCCAGCTCCTTGGGAGGCGGAGGCAGGAGACTCGCTTGAGCCCAGGAGTTGGAGGTTGCTGTGAGCTGTGATGCCACGGCACTCTACCTAGGGGGACAGCTTGAGGCTCTGTCTCAAAAAAAAAAAAAAAAAAAAAAGAAAACAATGGCAGCTTCTTAAAAAGTTAAACATGCCATGTGACTGATTTATTCTATTCAAAGGTGTTGACCCACAAGAAATGAAAGCACACACACAGAGTCTTATACACTAATGTTCATAGCTTTATTGTTCTAGCCCAAAACTGGAAACAACCCAAATATCCACCAACACATTAATGAGTAAAGAAGTGAGCTCTGTCTGTACAATAGAACACTACTCGGCAGGCAGCAAAGGAACAAGCTTTTGATACACGCAGCAACATGGATAAGTGGCAAAATAATTATACTAAGTAAAAGAAACCAGATAAGAAAAGATATATAATGTATAATCTCATTTGTATAAAAACCCAGGAAATGCGAACTAACCTACAGTGTCAGAAAACTGATCACTGGTCCCAGGGAGTGGGAGGAGTCACAGAGAGTCACAAGAGAGTAACTGTTCAGGGGCTTCAGGAGACTTTTGGTGGTGACAGATGTGTTCACTGCTTGATTGCAATGAGTGCATACATCAAAACATCAAATTGCAAACTGTCAATATGTGTGGCTTATTGTATATAAAAGCTGTTTTTAAAAATAAGAATAAAGCCAAAAAGAAAGACTCACTACTGAAGTTCATATTAGCAGTAAACAGTACAGGCAAAACTGTTCTCATGCTCCTATTGTGGTAGATTGTGTTTTCTTAAAGAGGCCGTCCATCAGGTGGGCTGGAACAATGGCTGCCTGGTCCCACGTCTCCCTAAGAGCAAGGTGACCACAGCATTGTGCTAGTTGTGCTTTGTCTTCAAGTGGCAGAGGGCTGGTACATCTCCTCATCAGCGTGTGTGCAGTCTGGCTCACGTGTCAGATTATGCGTTCTGATTAGATACGTGCTCTACTTGGCATCTTAGCCAAATTTGGACTTAGGAACTTACATGCACTTCGTTAAGACAGCTTTACAAATACTTCAAAGTGATTCATTTCCTCTTAACACAAATCTCAATTAGTACTTGCATTGAGAAAGTTCCTTTTCAAACTAGCAAGATCAGAACTAGCAAGTTTTAAAGTATGAATGTGTTTTAAATGTTTTAAGACTCAAAATTTAAGTGTTCCCTTAAAAGAGCTGGCTCTGTTACTATGGGGTAAAAGAAATCAGTGACTGGAAAGGATAAAGGTAAACCATAGAACTTGACTCTCCAGATGTGTTTTCTGAGCTCATGTGCTAGCCAAGCATAAGTGTGCCAAGTGCCAGCACTGTTCTTCTCTGTGCCTCCAGCCCCCGGCAAGGGGACACGGGGACCATGGTGACCTTCCTCACCGTCTCTCTCTGACTCTACAGCCCCAGTGACTCAGCTTCCTTTCTTTCAGGGTGTGAACGGCATGTCTGTGGATGAGAAGCCTGACTCCCCCATGTACGTGTATGAGTCCACAGTCCACTGTGCCAACATCCTCTTGGGCCTCAATGACCAGCGGAAAAAGGACATTCTCTGTGACGTGACTTTGATCGTGGAGAGGAAGGAGTTCCGGGCCCACCGGGCTGTGCTGGCTGCATGCAGTGAATACTTCTGGCAGGCGCTGGTCGGACAGACAAAAAATGACTTGGTGGTCAGCTTGCCTGAGGAGGTACTATAATTTGGTTTGTTTGTGTAGTTGTCAGTGGATGTTTATCAACTTATAGAAAACTGGCTGAGCAGGACCTGGAAGGGATACTGTGTACCACATCCCCACTGGGGGGACTGATGTCCACATCACCCACACATTGGGTTTGTGCCACAGCCGGGTTTCTTTTTGATGCACATCAAGTGTCAGAGGCACAGAATAGGAACAGAGCATCCTTCTTTAAGGGAACTGAGCCTCACCTGTGGCTCAGAACCTTGTAGTTTCTGGTTCACTTGCATGTTAGGTTTTGAGTAGTTCAACCCAAGTTTGTTACAGTCCTAGATATGGAATCTGAATCACTGCTATGATTTCTCTCTTTCAGATAGTTTAGGGATTGCTAGATTTCCCTTGAGAGTAAGAGAATGAAAGCATTCACACCACTCCTTGCTTAGGGGAAAAATAAAGGCAACCAGTAGTTTTCACCATTAATATAGTAAGATTCTAAGAATTATAAACTTGTTTTCACACTGTTATTGAAATACTCCACTCTGGTTTCTTAATCACTTCAACAAGCCCAATCATTTTGGTACTTTGATTGGATAGTTTGAGGTGCAGGAATTCAAAAGATGGGCCCCACAGCAGTAGCAAACCATTAAGCTGCTCACCCTTCCTCCTCCTCCAGCATCCTCATCCCAACTTCCTTCTTTTTATTTTTTTGAGGGGAGAGGAGACAGAATCTCAGTCTGTCCCAGGCTGCAGTGTGATGTGATCCTACCTGATAACAACCTCAAACTCCTGGGCCCAAAAGATCCTCCTGCATCAGCCTCAAGCAGGTGGGACTACAGGCACCCACCACCATGCCTGCCTAATTTTTTTACTTTTTTCTTTTTGTAGAGAGCAGGGTTTCACTATTGCCCAGGCTGGTCTTGAAGTACTGGCCCTCCTATCTGATTTCCCTTGGTTTCCATAGGACACTGGGTGATGGTTTGGGTTCCCTGTGCACCACCAGCACAGTGTGCAACTCTTAAGCCTCCATCAACAGTTGTGCAAGCTGTGCACTGCACAACTCCCAGGAGTGCAGCTCACATCAGGGATTTTAAAGATAGGGCCAAGTTGTGCAGTGCTGCGGCTTTCCACTGAGCAGCTCTTCACAGCAGTCTTGGGAGAAGCTGTAGACCCTATCTCCGGATGTCAGGTGCTAATAAGCACAACTAGCATGAAACCCCAGGGGTTACCAACCCAGAGGCCTTCAGAAGCCTGGCAGATAGAGAGTGGAGCAGGTTGTAATGTGACAGTGATGGGGCAGCACCTGCTACACAGAAGGGCACCAGATTCAGCATAGAAAACAAATGGGCACACAGGCCTGGGGAGTGAGGGGTCATTGGACTCCCTCCCCTTGTTGGGCAGCACCTGCTGTCACCCTGCTGAGCAGGAAGGCAGCCAGCTGACAAAAAAAGGGGACTGTGTAAGAGGACTCAGCATTTCACATCAGGGCCTCGTTACATCCTCAACAGGGATGCTCTGTTCCCTCCCTCGTACCACTGTTAAGTGGACAGCTAAAGAGGTCTCAGCACTAGAAACAGAAGGACAAACCACTTGCAGGTGGCGCGGCTGTGGCTGTGATGGGGGCGGACCGTCATTACCAAGTCATGTGTGGATGCCGGGGAGTGGCAGCTGGGGTCTGGCCAGGGACCCTGAGCTTCATTTTCCTCATCTGCACTGATGATGGCTCAACCAATCAGGTGGCTGCGACCAGTGTGTGAGAGGATACTAAATACAAAAGTTATCAACACAGTTCCAACACCCTGGGACACATTGGCCAAATCTAAGGAAGGCCCTTCTCTAAATGGCTGCAAGAATGCCCGTCTTACTGATTGCAACTCTAGAGTTCTCTGGAAATATTTGGAAAGTTCAGTTATCTAGAATGGTCTTGGAGAAGAAGCTGGACCTTATAGTCAGTTTGTTATCTGTTTGAGAACCATTTCATCTCATATATATTTTTTACTGGTTTTTAAAAAATTAAGTTACACTAATATATATGCAGATGAAAATTCTACTTCCTATAATGTAATCTCTCTTCAGTGACTGTCGGCCCTTCCTGAGACTCCCCGGAACCAGGTCTTCTAAGCCCCAGTCAGCAGCCCCACTTTAGCACTTAAGTCCTGGTCTAGTCGCTGAAGCTCTCTGAGCCCCAGTTCTTCCCCATAAAAAAACCTAAAATTCTGAAGTCTTTGAGTGATTTAAAAGGACACAGGCTACACATGTGTATAACATAGCCTTAAGTGTCTTGGTAGACCAAATCCCTGATAATTATTTATTTCTGTGCCAGTGAGGGCTTTCTAAAAGTAAGAGGCATCATACAAAATCTGTTTGCCCTTTCTGACTGTATTGTAGTTAAGTGAGACTTTGCTGCGTGCTGAATTTCTTTCTTCCTAACCTTGTAAGGTGATTGTCGTCTCTACCTCATCTACATCTCCCAACCATTGCAGCATTCTGGTTGCATGTCGTGTTCCTGAAATCTTCAGATAGAATAGACACTTTCTGTTCCCTGAGAAATGTGAATTCGTGTTACCAATAATTCAGCTCCACATATCTTGGTGTGGCGTGGGAGCCACCCCCAGTGGCAGTCCCCATGTGAGCCAACCCTTGGTGGCACTTCCATCAGGGAGCTGTCTTGTTACTGAGGCTTCCTATGAAGAGTCCCCCTCTGCACCTGCCCGTGGCCCCCCCACAAGGCATCATCTTCTGCAGTGTCCTGTGAGCTGTTCCTGCCCATGGCCCCCCACGCAGGGCATCATCTTCCGCAGTGAAAAGCCCCCCTCTGCACCTGCCCGTGGCCCCGCACGCAGGGCATTGTCTTCCACAGTGAAGAGCCCCCCTCTGCACCTGCCCATGGCCCCGCACGCAGGGCATTGTCTTCCACAGTGAAGAGCCCCCCTCTGCACCTGCCCATGGCCCCCCACGCAGGGCATCATCTTCCGCAGTGAAGAGCCCCCCTCTGCACCTGCCCATGGCCCCCCACGCAGGGCATTGTCTTCTGCAGTGTGCCATGTGCTGCTCTGAAAAGTCCCTGCAGGCTGAGTGGTCACTGAGCTCGGGAATGGTTTTGTAGAATTTGAATTAAGTGATAAACAAGCATGATTTTTTCTCTATACCTTTTCTTCTTAAATAAAGAAGTTTGGGGGAGAAAAAGTAATAAACAAGCAAACATTCCAAACACTGCCTTCAACAGTAGCTACTTGGAATTACTGACATGTGGTTCATAGGATATAAGAAAGAAACATTAGATTAGCTCCTTAGAAATCTTTAAACCTGGCTAGGCAATCAATGCCTGTAATCCCTCTGGGAGGGCAAGACAGGTGGAGTGCTTGAGCTCAGGAGTTGGAGACCAGCCGGAGCAACAGTAAGACACCCCTAACTCTACTAAAAATAGAAAAAACTAGCCAGGTATAGTAGCAGTTGCCTGTAGTCCCAGCTCCCTTTCTCACACTTGACCCTTATGTACTCTTCTGGCAGCCATGCTCAGCCACTGCTCTTCTCAGGGGCCAGCATGGTCAAGTGTAAGAGCTCCTCCTTGGACCACAACACTTCCAAATGAAACTGCTGCCCCCACCCCACCTCCTTGGTCACTCAGGCCAAACCAGATGTTGCCTCTAACTACTGTCCAGTCATGTAGCTGCCCCAGAACCCGGAGTCTTGATGGGCAGTGCCAATAGTAGCAGATGAGAGCCACCCCTGGAGCCAGCACAGCCTCTAATCTGAAAGGAGAAGAAGCAAAAACAGAGGGCTCCTTCTAGACATCAGGGAATACCTTAATTGTCTTTCTTTTTCTCTTCTAAAATGGAATGATGGTCCCTAGGATTTCTAGGGCTTGAGTGTCAGCTCCTCATGTAGAAATGCATGCAGGCTTGGTGCCCTCAGTGGTTAGGGTGCCAGCCACATACACCAAGGCTGGTGGGTTCAAACCCGGTCCAGGCCTACTAAACAACAATGACAACTACAACAAAAAAAAATAGCCAGGCATTGTGTCATGTGCCTGTAGTCCCCACTATGTGGGAGGCTGAGGCAAGAGAATCGCTTACACCTAAGAGTTTGAGGTTGCTGTGTACTATGACATTACAGCACTTTACCAAGGGTGACATAATGAAACTCTTTCTCAAAAAATAAAAAATAAATAAAAAGCATGCAGTCTATACACACACACACATACATATACATATACGTATATATATATATATATATAGTAGAGTACTCCTCAGCAGTACCAAGGATGAAATAATGTCATTTGCAGCAAGTTGGATGGAACTGGAGACCATTATCCTAGCACTCTGGGATGGAATGGAATCATTCACTTCTGAATCAAATCAGAAGTTGATTTGAATTCTGGTGACAGGCATGTTAAAAGCCCTGACTTCAGCATTATACAGTTCATCCCTATAACAAGAACACTTGTACCCCCTCATATTGTGAAATGAAAATTATAAAAAACACACCCAGATAAGAATGTCAGCCAACAGTAGGGGATGAGCCATTGTACTTAGTACTTCCATTACATAGTAAAACAGATCATTTGATTGATAATTAGTACTATGGTTTGTGCTAAGAGGTGAAGAGAAAGTGGCTGAGGCACCAAGCACTGCAGGGCCACTCCTCTGCTGCTGGTCGGGATTAGAGATGGCTCAGCAGACTTGTCCTTGCTGTAGCCATGGAAACCATTTTGGGCAGGATGCCAGCTGTGCTGGAAATGACATCATGATTGTGAAGTTCATTTTGACTGTGCGTGGAGGACAGAGGGCAGGAAGGGATGTGCTTCCTTAGAAGACATGCCACCCGTGGTGATTTGCACGCCCCTTGCAGAATGCCGGGGAAGAGCACCTGCTGGGAAGCTGGTGTCAAAGCCCTGTCACCTTCCTGTGGCTTGTTTCCTGTGTCTTTTTACCCTCTGGAGAAGAAGGGCTCGTGGGGAAGATGGCTCTAGGGTGGGAGTAAGGGTGGCCCTTGCAGGTGGACCTTATATTTTTTAG